GATCACATCTCATATCATATCATATCATATCATATCATATCATATCATATCATATCATATCATATCATATCATATCATATCATATCATATCATATCATATCATATCATATCATATCATATCATATCATATCATATCATATCATACCATATCGCTTCAGCTGGGTTGGGCCGGGGTCGCACATAGTCGCCGTATCTGGGGCGTTGAGAGGAAATGTGAGTTAATGACAGGGCGAGACAGGGCGCTTCCTCGTGCAATTGCGTTAAAGTGATTCTATATATATATATATATATATATATATATATATATATATTAATTATTACTAATGTATTGCAATACCACGAAATAAAATGACGACAAAGGTGAAAAACATTTTTATGCTAATTGCTATTTTACCATAGCATTATTGTGTGTGTTACAGTTAAGTTCCTTGAGAAACGTGTCCTAATATTTTTAGAACATGTACAATTCTATAAAACACAATGTTAAAAAAAATTGCATTTCTTGACACTTTTTAAAACCCAGATTTTTTTAAATAATTCAGAGCAACAAAAAGTACTTCTTCATTAACAATATATGATTTTTATCAGATTTTGTCACCAGGCTAGATTTTGAGATATTGCATAATTGAGATATTGCCATAGGAACCAATGGTAAAAGCATTATAATAGTGCCAAAATGGTGACTTTCCACTAAAATAAAACCAGCAATATCTCGAAAATAAGGCTGGTCACCCCCAAATTTTTTTAAGTGAATATCCTTATATTGCCTTGGAGTACAGTTTGTTGCAAAATGAATAAATTCTGTTTTTTTTCTTTTATGAGTAGACCCGGCGAGTAGGCTTCTGCTTTAAGGCAAATGAACACGTGAAACACACGAAACTGTTTCAACTCATAGTAGAAAACACGAATTAACCATTGTTTACCCTTACTCGCTTTTAAGGGTGTCATAATAAGCGAATGGTTATGTTATCAGAAATTGAAGACCTCAAATATACATTTGCACTAAGTAACTGTTTGATTGCTCAGCGCATTTGGGTCTATGTGCTGCAGGTTAGAGTGCATATACCTTTAAAGCGACCATCCGCCAGCAAATGACTTAGCCCAGGCATTTTCTGTGTTAAAATCACGAACTATCCATTTTTGCACAATCTGGGAAGTCCGAATTACTAAACGAAGTACAGCACCAACACATATAAACAATTATATCTCTAAAGTAAATATTCATAACTGGATCGGAAGTGAAAATTTGTTACTACTCTAAATATCCAGACATATTTTAGTATAAGGTGGTGATGCCGTCCATGACAGTTTTGGTGTTGTATATAATAGCGGTTATGATGCTGTCCATGACAGTGTTGTCAGTCATGGCAGAGGTGATTATGTGATCCATGTTGGTGTTGTCCATGACAGTGGTGATGATGGCATCCATGAAAGTGTTGTTGGTCACGGCAGCAGTGATGCTATTAAATAGCACATGTGATTTTGAAATAGTGATGGTGATATTGACATTTGAGAGTTACAAAAAGTTCATATACCAGGTTATGTTATATACTGTTTTGATATTTTGTATTAATGATAAATTGTATTTCAAATATATCATACTAATTTGTTGCTACCTTCTTTGGTATTCTGATGAGTTATTCAAAGAAGAAAACTATTTGAGTGTTTGCATTAGTTGTCTATTAACAATTAAAAAATACAATAAACTTTATATTACAAAAATAAAAGTTTGAATTTTGAAAGCGTTAAATGAAAGTTCATGAACTTGAATATTTTTGTGCAATAAATAATTTACAATAACATGTAAATATTGTGTCTGTTTAAACTATGTATTTTTTTCTGCACATGGCAAAATTGATAGGCCCACCTCCCAGGCAATGGGAAAAACGCATGCCCCCTTATCTGATTTTAAAATTGCTTGGCCCCCCTGTTTTTCCCCGGCACCCCATGCTGGAGAAAATGACCAGTCCCTTAGAGGGTATGGCTGAAGTCAATACATGGACGCCTATGGGGCGGAAATACGTCCCGGTACAGCCTCATCGTTGTTCAAAATGATAGATTTCAGCAACCAACCAGATCGCCAGGCCTTTTTTATTCTATTTATTTCAGTATTTACTTTGTTTACATTGTGTGGCTATTTATGATTGACGTGCCCCAGCTGCCTCAAGGTCACGTGTCACGTGGTTTACTGTTTTGATGTGTCTGCGTATAGGATGACCTCTAGGTTCTTGACAGTTCCTCGTCACATTTTCTGTCGGCGTGGTCGTCTAACGTATACTGCCTTATAGTCTGGGCGTATAATTCATATTTTCAGTAAAAACGCGATTACCGGGTTAACTGATGTGTTCGAGCTTGGAAATGGTGAGTGGTGCGGTTTAGTTTGCTGTTAGCTTATAACGTTTTTTCAGACGTCAATCAGGGTAAAACAATACAAGAGTGACAGCAAGACGACATGTCCTCATTACTAAAGTTACATACACGTTCATTTATTCCCCGACATTCACCAAGACTGTTTCGGAAACGCACAGTGCCTGTAACGTCCCGTCGGTACTCAACAACAGAGCAGGGCGACTCCACGTCGAGTGGTGTCCCATACGCACAGACATTGCAGAGCGAAGATAATGCCGCCCCTACCAACATCCCGGAGACTGCCGATGTTGTTGTCATCGGAGGCGGGAGTGTTGGATGTAACACGCTCTACCATCTAACTAAGCTTGGGGTGAAGAACGCAGTCTTGATTGAGAGAAATCAACTTACAGCTGGAACAACGTGGCACACCGCTGGTGAGTGTTTCGATTTCATTACTGGTATATAATAATAATTTATTGACACAACACCGATATAGTACAATACGGCAGTATGGCCACTGAATACAACTATTAACTACATTTAAAATAGAATTAACATATTTGGCGAAAGGTATCTTAATTAAGATGAGTATACAAAGCACTTAACAAATAAATGAATTTACATTCTTGATTTAGTTTTTCAAATTCTGGAAAGCTAATATCTCTATTTGATTTCATATATCCATGTTCTATAGTGCTTCCAATCACATAGAGATACCGTATATGCTTTATTAGATTTGCAGCGAAGCTAAAGCGTATGCGCTTATGTACTGATATGTCGCAGGTGTGTTTATGTGAGAAATATGATTTATTATTGAAAGGGTATTTGACTTAGAAAAAGATGTTTTCATATGCAGGATCTGCATGAGCCCTCAAACCTCTAGTATTTTCAGTTGGAAGGATACTAATCTCTAGCAACTTTTAGAAAAGGATGTCACAAAATATGCAAAATTTGGCTCTATCATTCTTACAGGTGCCATTTATAATAACATAGATCACCATTCATCAGAGCCAAATTATACATTCAAAAAAACAAAACTCAAGATCTAGCAGTAAAAAAAAATATGGTGATTTACTGCTAGACCTATGTATCTTTTCAGACATAGTAATTCTTAATGGTCGTTGTATGGGATACATTATAGGAAGGTATACATGCCATCAGAGTAGAGGCAGCAGCACAGTGGACTAGCAGGGGTTTTTCTAGAAAAAAACTGCAAGAGGGAGCACTGCTCTAATTCTAAGTTAAAATGGAGCATTCTATGTCTTCCTTGGGACCAAAATTACTATCAGACAGGTCACAGTTGAAGACTGTGGCCACATGTGATCCCCGGTCAATCAGAATTTTATCATGATGGTTGCCAGAGGATCTGCTCCCCAGGTTAAGAGGGCGCATGGCCATTTTTTTGTTTAAAAAAATCCCTGACTAGTACATTATTATTAGTTATGCTATTTTTAACAAAAAAAGCCAGTTTTGTATCCATTCTTTAAATCTGACCCTATCTGATCACTGTCAGATCTCTTTTAGACTGGATACTAATGCAATATCCAACATTATATTATACCAGTATATTGATGGTGTTAATCCATTGATTTGATTGGTCCAAACACAAAATTTGCATATGCAGTCCATGGTATATTGGCTGATAATGCACGGCTTAACCAAGTGGCCCTGGAACATGAATTGACTACAGGTTTAATACGGAAATACATAAAACCGGTATTATTTGATTTTTAGGGAAATATAGTGGTTGCATTTTGGAAGAATATTGAAAAAAATACTGAATTAAAAACATCTGAAAAGTTATTTAACTATAATATTGCTTTTTGTTATTGGTGGGATCCAAGTTGTGAGCGTCGGTCGTTGGGTGATTGTCGTTCGCCACACAAACCTAAACCACCGTTTCTCAACACCGTGAGGTGCCTACACGAACGTCAGAACGCTATGTTCTTAGAGATGGATTGCGAACTTCCAACAAAGAAAACATGATCTTTAAGTACAAGATATAATTGAGGGATTTAATGACATAAAAATGCAAAAAACTATGAGTCACACGCAAAAATGTATGCCACCAATAACAACCGGTGTCCGGTAGCGGCAGAGCACCCAGGCAATTGCCATCTGTTTCAAAAAATACGGGACAACGCAGGATTCGACGACGATATATGGTATTGTAATTCTCCACTATGGGTAAATAAATTACAGGAGATGATGAAGGTAATTTCGAAAGCTACAGATTTGTGCCGAGTGTACACCAACCACTGTATTAGAGCGACGGCGTGCAAAGTCTTTCGGCCGGAGTTGAGACAAGGCATATCATGTACGTGTCACAAAAACGATGCGAAAATCCGATCTTACACCATCAAACTTACCCCAGAACAACGACAAAACTTGTCAGTCATACTGTCACAAAACTTTGGTTATACTAAAGGTATCCAGGTCAGATGTTGGAACTGAGGTCGCTGTGCCGGTCGCCGTACATGATACACCGCGTCCCGCCGCGTCTCAAATTTCAGTCGAACCAAGTACCGCTGAACATCAAATATCCACAGTTACAAGTAGTATGATGAGTCACAAAACCGGTTTATTTCACAACTGTACTTTCAATGGGCAAATTACAGTCCAAATTGTACAAAAACCGGAATTAAAACGTGGAAAATCCGTTGTTTAAATGATCCAAACTGTACACGACCCTGTATTTCACATCGTGTTGAGCGTCAGTAAAAGGTCAGAAAGGTCATCCTTTGTTATGCTAATTTGTGTGTTTACGCTGCTCTATTCACGTGGATATGTTTCTTTTT